TATATTAGTTAGATTTGATCTATGGTTTATTCGGATAAATAGATCAAATCCATTAATTAAATTTTAACTCTAATTTGGGTATAATTTTGGATTGGATTAAAACCGGGTTAGAAACTCAAAAACTTCCCTTAATCATCAATTGACTACAATGGGGCTAATTGAAAATATCAATATTTTGGGGGGTGTAAAACAATAAACAAATATCCACCAAAATTATATTTTTGTCAAAACATCTTTTCTTCAGCGACATTGGAAGCATTCCATTTTAGCTTTTTCCCTTTTTCGCTGTCTCCAGAAGAAAATTTTCAATCTTTGTCGAAAAGGAAGAGATTTTCCGGGAAAAAAGCAAAACTTCGGTTTAGGGTTTTTGCTAAGAAGCAAAAGAGACAATAAATTTGTGACCCTTTTTCGAAATCTTCTTCGATGGCGGTTGCGCCGGCAAGAGCTCGTTCCGACTATGATTACCTCATCAAGCTCCTTCTCATCGGTGATAGCGGTAAGCTTCTTATGTCTGTTTTCTCTCTTCTTCTTTCAAGGATTGATCAAGCAATTGAGAATCTCACAAAGTGTTCGACTTCGTGCTTGTTTTGTGATCTTAATTAGGGTTTATGATTTTGATTTGTTTGTGGTAATATCTACCACAACTAGAATGAAAAAGAGTAATTGTGAAACTCGTTGACAAAATTATCGTTTTTGTGTTGATTATTTGTTTTAGCATTATGTGTGTATATCTTTCAGGTGTGGGGAAAAGTTGCTTGTTACTTCGTTTCTCTGATGATACTTTCACTACAAGTTTCATTACTACCATTGGGTATGTCTTCCTTCAATATTGCCGTTTACTTAAGATTGTTCTTATTTGTTATTGTCTTAACTACTTCTGTGTTTCCAGAATTGACTTCAAGATAAGAACTGTTGAGCTTGATGGGAAGCGTATCAAATTGCAGATATGGGACACAGCTGGTCAAGAACGTTTTAGAACTATTACTACAGGTAAAACTAAGACTTGAACTTTGTTGCTCGCAAGTGAACGATCTTTAGTGGGCCTGTCGATTCTTGTATCTAATCGATGCTTCTACTTGTATCGGTTGATTGATTCCTGAGTCTTCTACTTGTATCACTTCAAGTTGTCGAAGACATTTCATTTATAATGTTTTGGTCTACTTTTTCTGTGCAGCATATTACAGGGGAGCAATGGGGATACTGCTTGTCTACGATGTAACGGATGAGTCTTCTTTCAACAGTATGTCTCTGGCTTTTCTTACCCAGTCAAATTTTGCAATGACATTTTCAAAGAATATCGACTTGTGGTAACTGAACACGATTGTTTATAACAGACATTAGGAACTGGATGAAGAACATAGAGCAGCATGCCTCAGATAATGTCAACAAAATATTGGTCGGTAACAAAGCTGACATGGATGAAAGCAAAAGGGTAAGTAATCTTTCAGTTGCATACTTACTTTCATGACCTATATAGTTTGTAGTATACTGATGCGTGATCTTCTTCGTCAGGCTGTCCCAACAGCAAAGGGCCAAGCTTTGGCTGATGAGTATGGAATCAAATTCTTTGAGACGGTGAGCTAGATAACAACATAACATAACTACCCTTTTCATTAATATTTCCAGAGTTTAACAGAGTGTGATTGCAAATGTTGCAGAGTGCTAAAACAAACCTCAATGTCGAGTCGGTTTTCCTTTCTATCGCAAAAGACATTAAACAAAGATTGACAGAAACCGATACAAAGACAGAGGTAAGAACCGCCGGAATTACTATACTGATACTACCACCACTCGCTCTACATTTTACTATACTGACTAGTCTTCATTTGTATTGTTTTTGTTGCTTTGCAGCCTCAAGGCATCAAGATCACTAAACAAGATGCTGCTTCATCTTCTTCTACAACTGAGAAATCAGCTTGTTGTAGTTACGTTTAGGAGTATGATCGCTCTTTTTCGCCTGCACCCGTTTTTAATCGCTTGGCCATCTTTTTCATCTCTTACGTCTCAAATCAGAGATCGTTCTTATGTTGTTACTTAGAACGAGTAGGAAATCTTATTGATGGCTGTGATCATTTTATGTCTAACTTGCTATCTTCTTAATACCGTACAATGTGATCTTCCTGATATGGAAGACTACTATGTTGGTGAAGAAAAAAAAAACTATGTTTAAAGACTTTGAATTTATGAAAAAATCAAACTGTTTTAGTGTGTATAACTCTTTCATAGTTCCATTCAAAATATTTTCTTCACTTTTGAGTGGTGGAATCTAAAATTTGAGCCAAATTCATAAAAACGGATTAGAAGAAACACAGGATGGGGTTTGATTCTATTTTGATGTTATTATTACAAATCTCATTACAGAAGCAAAAGAAGAACACAAGAAATCTCACAAATTTACAGAGAAGCTAAGATTATGTTCTTTTTCAGCTTTTACACACATAAGAAGCAACTTCAGAGAGAAGAATCAGATCGAGTTTGCGATACACAAAAGAACAACTCGAGTTTATAAATCGCCTTACGAGCTGCAACAGCCAGCTTGAGTAGTAGTCTGGTTTTCTGGTTTCTGCTTCAAGATATTTCTCTTCACAGCACTTGATCCTTCTTCCAAAAGACTAGGTACCTCCATTATCTGTTTCATCACAATCATTCTCTGTTATATATAACATCATAATCCGTCTATTTGAATCGGCTTTTTACCAACTGAAGATCTTACCTTCAAAGCCAGCTCTTCGAAACACTGCTCCACATTTTGTCGAGTTCTAGCACTACACTCAAGAAACATGCACTTGAGGTCTTTCGCTAGAGCAATCCCTTCTTCTCTGCTAACTCCTCTCTCAGATTCCTGTAAATCATATGTTTCATCAAGACGACTATCAAACAACCAATCCGATGTTTTGAGAACAAAGTTAGTGTCATTCTGATAACAACTCACTCTATCGACTTTGTTTCCAACAAGCATCCTAACACATTCTTGGTTTGTGGAGTAAAGCTCAATCTCTTTACCCCACACATCTACTAAGTTTGTAAATGTCTCCCTTCTCGTCACATCGTAAACTACATTCACCAAGAAACATTAACTAATCACTTTACAGCTAAAGAGATCTCTTAGGTAGGTCTCCTGTCATTGATCGATGAAGGACATTACCGAGAATGATTCCTTGTGCGCCTCTGTAGTAAGAGCTCGTCAATGTTCTAAACCGTTCCTGTCCAGCTACAACACCACAAACCGAGAATATTATAAGAACCATTACTTTCCTTGCGAACATAGAACTTGTATAATCTCAATATAGAAGAATCACCTGTATCCCATATTGTGAGTTTCAGTCTTTTGCCTCCTACTGTCAATTGTTTGATCTTGAAATCAACACCTATGATTCATGGTCATGTTAGATCCCACAAAACAAATTTACACAAACCAAACCAAGACCAAACTGCTAAATTATCATTTATCAGACAGAAAGTGAATCATCAAGAAACTAAGATTGTTCCAGTGGGGGAATCAATATAGAGAGCATTTCCAACACAATTCAGACAGATGATCATCAAATTCAAGTTCTTTCAGAAATGGAAACTACTGTTTGATCAAACAACACACACAAAACCACAATACATACTTCCACAAACCAAACTGCTAGATTATCAGACAGATGATTCAAGAACAAATTCTTCAGACAGAAAGTGAATCATCAAGAAACTAAGAATGTTCCAGTGGGCAATACGATCAATCAGACATATGATCATCAAATTGAAGCTCTGGTTTGATCAGCAAGACACAAAGGACATGACTTTCAGCTCTTAAAACATAAATCTAACAACTTTTTTCTCGGGAATCCAAAATAGAAAACAAGATGAAGAAACTAATATACCAATAGTAGGAGCAAGATCTTCAACGGAGCTAGAAATGAAGCTCACAAGCAAACTGCTTTTACCAACACCAGAATCTCCAATCAACAAGATCTTAAACGACAGATCGTATCCACTTTGCCCTGAAGAAGATCCCATTTTTCTAACACTCAAATGTTTTTCTCGATCTGTAATTCTCTCTATAGAAACGAAACCCACGAGAGATCAAATCAAATCATACTGAACCAGCACCTAAAAAAGGCAGATTTTTTTAATAAAAAAAAAAAATATGAATCTATGTGTAATGGTAATGATGATGATGCTTCTCGTTTGATAATTACATCTATCAATTTTATAAGCACAAGAGAATATTTTTTGCCACAAAACAAAATCTTAAAATAAAGAAAAGAAATGTGATGAAGAAATTGGAAAGATTTATTCTTTACGGAGAAAGAGAGGAGAAGAAGAACGAGCATGTACGAAGAAGACAAGACACACCTTTGATAGTAACGTTTGTTCTCTCCCGACACTTTGCTTCACGACAAGTTTTCTTCTTACATGTTCTATTGTAAACGTATGATATGCGTTTCGGATTCGCGGTTGCGATTGAATTGATAATTAGTGGGCGAATAAATTAAAAACGGTTGGATTTTTGTGGTTTAAAATAGCGGTAGTTAAAAGGTGATTAAATATTTATTTGGGACGAGTAGACAAAGCATATTCAATTCGCACTAAAAATATGGTTAGATTATTGTTTGTCTTCTAGCTAGTGCATCATTCAAAAAAAAAAATCAAATTTTAATTAGTGCGACTTTAAAAATACACACATTTGAGTTTTTCTTACATTTTTAACTTTTTGTTCAAAAAATACCAACACTAACTATAGAGTTTCCAAAATAGCGTTTTTTTTTCTTTTTTACAATTAAATATTTTAACATAACAATTTATGTTATAACTGTAAATTTAAACTCGTCGTGTTATGTTTAGAATTTTTTTGTTTAAAATATCTATAATTGGTAATATTTTATATCAAGATATTACAGTCATAATCATATACCAACTTTATTACACGTTTTCCAACCGCAAGCAAATTTTTTTTACGGTGATTTATTATTTAATCACCAAATTTTGTAAGCACTTTTTTTTGAGTAATTGACAAAAATAACCATAAACCGATTAATAATTAGCTCAATGACCAAAGATTTGAACAAGTCTAACATACCATGTGTAATGTATAACATGGACGAAATTACCTTTTTTTCCAATCGCAAAAAAAAAAAAAACGTGATGACGTGAATTATCGCCGACCAATCCGTCTCGGATTCCAATGGAATCACCACATTGTCCTGATCAACAACTATAGCTTACTCTCAACACTTCTGATACTACACCAACTCCAACGGTTTCCCACCCTTCCCTTATAGCAAACCGTATATCTCTCTCAAGTGGGAGAGATACGATTATTTCACAAGTGGTAATCACTATCTCACCAGGGGATGACTATCTTCACCTTTTCACCCAATTTTACTCTTCCAGTGACATATGCCGTCCTTAGAAAGAATTGAGGACTGAAGTTGGAGAAAAAAAGAGTTTTACGCCCACCTTCTATCTCGAAGAGAACGTAGATCTCTGCCTTAAACTTTGTTGAAAAAGTGCCAACACCAGGCTTCGCAATCACCTACAAAAATAATCACCTAAATTAGCAATCAATAAGTCAATTTTGGTCTCATAAATCACAAGAGAGCTTACCATCCAGTGCATGATGACTTCTCTCTTTAGCGAACGTACCAGAAGTCCAACCATGTCACCAGCCTGTCCATCATCCAACATTTTATTGAACATCTCAACACCTGTGACTTTGGGTGTGAGTGGAGATCCCTGTCAATAAAAATCTCAGTAATTAGGCTTAAATTTACAAGAAAATTTCAGTGGAGGTCCTACTAATAACTCACATTACTTAACAAGACTGTGAGCTAACTATCTTCGCTGATCTAGCTTAGCTTCAATCGTCCTCACAGAGTGGCATGGCTGGAGGAGATTGCCATTAGCAATCACCTACAAAAATAATCACCTAAATTAGCAATCAATAAGTCAATTTTGGTCTCATAAATCACAAGAGAGCTTATCATCCAGTGCCATTACATACATATTCATCATACAAGAAAACATTTAATTTTAAAAGTGTGTATGTGTGTTGTGATGAGATATAATTAGTGAGTAAATAGCCAAAACATTGCCATAAACGAAGATTATTCATCATACAAGAAAACTTTGAATCTGTTTGCGCTCTAAATTTTTTTTTCATCAACCAAAATTAGAACTAGAACTTGATATTGTCATCAACCAGAAACGATGATAATTAATTAGAATACATCAATAAAACATACGTTATGCATCAATTTTGTAAAATTTATGCATAAACAATACAAATCTCTACGTGTATAAATTACAAATTGTAGTTATAAGTATCAATTTCAATTATGAAGACTGAAGATTTATATTTCTTACCAATCTAGGTATTTGGACTTATCGTGCACAAAACTATATCTCTAAAAATTCAAAGAATTAATATTATTGATGCATATAAGTGACTAGAATATGTAGCCTAACAATGGTATAAATGTTTTTTTGGCTATTGGTCTACCAATTTCGATCTAATGGTTTAATAATATGAAAGACTTTTGGTTATGTTTGAAAAAAAATTGTAAATGGATTATATGATGATATTAAATCGAAATTTAATTAAGTCAAACTTAGTGAATTAGAATAGTAGTAGTATCTAAGCTTCTTTTCATTACATATGAAAAATTGTTTTATTATCATTTTTTCCTCAAAAGCAATTGAGTTTGAGTCTCTTTGAGCTCTTTCTCTTTGATGAATAGAAAACACTCAAATGTGTTCTTTTTTCTTTTTTAATAGTTTTTTAAAAATTGTCTCGACACAATAATGACAAAAACTTGCACCTATATTGATATTCCGTGCATCTTCCTTCCGTGCATCCACCCCAGTCTGAGTATATGAAGATGATTGAAGAGGAGATAGAGCAGCTAAGGCAAATTAGAGTGGAGAAGATACGGAAGTTCTTTCAGTTAGCTCACAGCCTCGAGGTTTGTAATGTCTATTGCCATTTCACCAAAATCCCCAAACCAAAGTCAGATGAGGTGATCTTCAAGGAGGCCAAGGATATGGAAGATTCTAAGGCTAAGGAAAACCTTCAGCCAATGACTTTGGAAGAGAAAATCGACTTCTGGACTAAGGAAGCCGATAAGCTTACTGTTGCTTTGGCTGAATGTCATGACGTGTATAGCAAGATACCGCACTCTCAGTTACGCAACCGCAAGTAAGAAATTTCAGATGGAGAACAGAGTTCCGGAGATATCAATAAGTGACACGTTGGTGTTTGATTTTCAATTTCAGTTGTTTATTTAACTATTTCAATTGTTGTCAATAAGAAGAGATTTGGTGTTCATGTACCAACTCTTCCTCTTTCCCCCCATTACCTTGCTTTTAAAGGAGATTAGTCTCCCAGCTTCTGATTCCTGTTTCTTTTTAACCTATTAGTGTTAGTGTGTTCTTGTGTGCGATAATTTATCATATGATTATGTCTAATGGTTCTTCCTTTTTCCACTGTCTGTTTGTATTCTCATGTATGTTAATTAGTGTAAATAGTTAGTAATCTGTTATTTGAATTAGGATCTTTAGAGTAAATATAAAATTTGGAGCTAATTAATGCGAAATATATAAACACAGAACGTAAATAGAGGAATAAATTAGGGGTTAATTAGGTGAATATTATGTTTTGAAATTGAAATCAGGTGAGTAAACGCAAATTAGGTAAGTAGCATTAAGTTCTTACATTCTGACGCAATTACTCTTAATGATGTGATTAAAAACATTTGGTAAAAATCCCTAAAAATATATTACTGTCTTGAACCGAAATTTAATATAGTGGACTGTTGTAAGCGTAGTCACTAATTTTATGGACTTCTCATAATAATCCACTATAATATATTATGTTTACGACTATAGTGCACTATAATATATTTTGCAATTATAGTTGAGTAATTTTGTAGTTATTTATAGTCCGATTTGCATAGTTTATTAGTTATAATTCACTATATTGACTGCTTATAATATATATTACAATAATAGTTAACTACAATAGTTATGTATTAGTTAAAGTTCACTATATGTTTACAACCATAGTACACTATAATATGTATAGACTGCTTATAATATATATTGCAATAATAGTTAATTACAATAATTATGTATCATATACAAAACTCTATCATCCTCCTTCTCATCAGGCCATGACAAGTCGTATCCTTCTAGACTTCGGCAGGCAGCGTATATGCCACTTTTACCTGAAAAAAACACATTTGAGTAAACACAATAATAGTTAACTATTACACGGCTGTAGTTAACTATAATAATAATCCTCAATTTCTTTAACATAGTTAACTATTACTCAGCCGTAGTTGACTATGTATAGTAGGTTGTTGTAATAGGACAAAGAAAATGTTACCGGTCGATCATTATCTAGCTTTTGAATCGATTTCATAACGATGTTTAGAGACTTCTCAAATTCTTCATTGTCGTAGTTATCTTCATAATCAACAATTCAAACCAATATGGAGATTGGTTTGGGCT